GTCAAACAACAACTTTGCAGCCTTGCATAACAATGTTGAAGGTTATGAGTTTCAGATTTTTTATTATTGTTAAAATAACGATCTTGTATTACAGATGAAGCCATAAATTTCAGAGTGTATTCTCTTGTGATAGAATCAAATGTCGTCATCAATATGAAATCATTAGATAGGTGTTCCTTAGGGCACTGCAATAATGGAATTATTGAGATTCTCTATTGATGGATATTCATATTTTTTAAACATCAATCGTCACCACTACAACATTTGGTAGTAATAGTAATTAATAATCGAAACACGTGCAAAAATTTGTCACTGTTGTGTGCGTTCTACATAATGTTAAATATGTCGTAAGTTTGTTTATAACTGACAATAAGTGCCACAAAATCTTTACTGATGCTATTGACGTCACACGAATCGAGTATTTAATACTCATTCCAATTTGGGATCATGCAAATGGCTGGATCAAATACTTAAACTAAATTTGAGGTCAGCTTAACACAGGACCGTGACCAATCAACTGTTGATAAACACAAAACTAAGCGTAGCATTGAATTGAGGATTTTGGGACAATGCATACGAGGTACGATAAGGATAAATAGGTACATGAATCAATTGAGGATTTAGATTAATTGGTGAGAGAATTCAGAACACAAATAGGGATAAGTAAATTTCTTAATTGAAATAAATTTGTTTGGTAATTTAAATCTTTTCTAAAGTGGTTTGTTGCATTTTGAAATAAAAGAAGTATCGACACGACACTAATAAAAAAAATAATAATGAACACACTCATATTCCCGCTTTTCACTTAAAAGCTTTTTAGTTTGAAGCTTACAAAATCGCTTACAGAAACGTTTAAGCGCATAGACTTTTGTTAAAAAAAGCTTGCAACGTGTTGATCGCGAAAAGCAAGTGTAGACCACTAAAGGTTTTAAGATAAGTCACTTTATTTTGTAAATCACGAGTTTTTTTTTATTTATAAAATTATTATTCTTATTGATGAATTAATTTGTTTAGGAAACATAGATGGCGGGACTTCAAACATAGGCATGTTGTTAACTCTTACGCTTAAATTGAAAAGCGTTCTTATGTGCTTATTTAAAGAAAATAAACTTTTCGTTTAAACGCCCACCTCTAGTCGCGGGTACTATGTACACACAGATAGACAACCACAAGTTATACCCAAACTCACGAAAGAAAGAAATGGAATCGAACTCGAGATCTCTGCGAGGCAGACCAATATGGTAACCTTTCAGCTACCGAGGCAGTCTATAAGAAGGACAAGCGTTTTCAGATAGGCGTTGAAGGCCTGGGAATTTAGGAAAATATTTTCCAAACTCTTTCTGTCCTGTGTTGCAATAGTTTACATACAGTTCTAATTCCAACGTATCCTTCAAGCTTTCTATTTATATATTATTTGAGAGTCTTTACGACGTCACCTACGCTCTATGAATCTATAATTGCCTATTACCTCTGCGAAAAGAAACCTATCCGATCATGGATGAAAAACGGTTTCAAGGAGACACTTATAATTATTTTTAAAAACTAATTTTTCATCCTTTCAAAGCGCTAATGGCGTTTACAAGTCATTCATATTATTGGTACAATTACTGTGTTGTAAAATGAGGCACAATTAGTGTAGTACCATGAGCATTATCTTGTTTTTGCCATCGTGGTGTTAATAATTTGAGTTGTTTCCTATCGAGTTCTTAGATTTTCTACTATTATATTTATTTTATTTTATATGTTATCCATTTCTTAGGATATCGCGATTGCACTTTGGGAATTAAACTATTTCACCCGTGACCATGGAACCTGTAAAGAGCCCGAAACGTTGGTTTGTTTGAAAAATAAAAGTGAGTGATTTTAAAACCGGAAAAAAATAGCTTCATTTTCAATGTCAAATTTAGACGTTCTGACAAATAAAATTACTGTAAAGATCAAGTCTTTAAAGTGTAATTTCGGTAACAGATTAAATAATAATTAACAAACGTGACTGTCCGCGGATCTTACATTTTGATATGCTCCGTTTACTAAGTATTTCATTAATTGGATACCTAACCTAATTGCGAATTGTTAATAAAAAAAAATATAAAAAAATAAAATTTTTAAGGCTGAAATGAATGAAAATAATTATTTTAAGTAAGTCTTTACTAAAATTGAACAATAAAGAATAAACGAAGATTCACAAGACAAATTCACATATTTACTAAAAGTGCTTCAAGCCTCTCTCATCTTTTCTTTAACGAAGGCCTGTAAATCAAATCTTCCATCGTGATATAAAGGAAACAATGCTTTGTTATGGTCAAGTCTCGTTTCCCGGGCGGTAGTAAACTGATAGTTTTAATTTTTTTATATCCGAGCGGCCCACCATTGACGTCAATCGACCGGTTGTGTGTATGTCTACATGTTTGCGTGTATGGTTGCATTTGTGTGTCAAGCAGGGTCGTCACAGGGCTTTATTGGTTGTGGTATTTCGTAATGTTATTGTTCTTGCATGAATCTGTATGACTATTTCAGTGTAGGTTATTGTTTTGAGTATTGACAGTTTTGTTAAGATCCTTTGTGTAACTCATAAGGCATTAACGACAGAGACGTTTGATTTTATGAGACGTGATGTAATAGCGGTATTGATTTATCGTAAAACGTGTGTTAGCATTTCAGATGCTGTTAATGTTTTTGTTGAACCTAGTTCTATCGACTTGTGATTTAGAGCTTAGTCAAATGTCTTGTGCAATACCATGGACCAATAATTCAAGAGGAGTGCTAATCTCTATACTGCAGATCGTAACATTCAAAAAGGTAAAAATTTCGTCTTATATCTAGATGGCGTTGGTCAATAGCCTGGAAGTAGTTTATATCATGTAAATGGCTGTCGATATCAATTAATTCCTTTTCAATATGAAATATAAGAAGTCAGATTTTTCTCCACTCAACTAATTGAACATGAGCTAAAATTATTTTTTGAACTTTGATAAATATGCGTGTCAATAGATGGCATTGAGTGTTACAAACTAAACATTTAAAATTCAACGCCTCCTAATAATAGGTAGAGGGAGTTAATCTTAACAAAGTAAAAGAATAGCCAGTAGTAACCATAAAAATCAGTGCAATAAGCGCCATCTAGTTGATTTGTTTGTTATCACTACAAATTAGAGTAGCTTTGATAAATTGTGACTTGTCAAAGAAAACAAATTAGTTACAAAAATAGCTATTTGGTACTCGTCCCGGTATCTGGTGTACCAATAGGTACTGTAGTCTAGGCTCTACTCTATGAGTAAAATCACTGGCTGAATGAATAGTTTTGTAATTAGAATGTTTTGGAAAATGAAGTGAGAAAAGAATACAGCATCTTGAGATAACGAAATATAACCCAACGCCGAAAGCATGTAAAAAAGTGCAATAAAGTATATTTTTGAAGATTATTCCAGTTTAAATTCATAAAAGTACCTCTCGCTATGCAACCCAAGCTACGCCTCAGTTACAGTACTAAGTACCCGACGACGATGAGGTCGAGGATGTAGCACGCACATCTAAATAATGCCTATTTATTCTCGCCTTGAAAAGTCCAAGTTATAGCGTTCGGGGAATAAGTCTGCACGCAGGGAATAACACTCTCGAGCCGCTCGCCATACAAATGTGGAAGCGAAACGCTTTGTGCGAATCCGAGGAATATTCACAACATAGGGGTGGAACCCCCGCCCACGTCTAGTCTCCCGATGATGGAAAGGGGAAGGCGGAATCAAATTATGCAATTCCATCGCACACTCTCCGTGATATATCCTGTGAAATACCGATAAGCTGGCAACTCTACAGCGAATGATTTTGATATTCGACTGTCATTCGAATGACAAATTAGTAATCTCCTAATTTTCGTATTCGAATGATCATTAATTACTTATTGTTTTTATTAATCCATAGATTCCATAGACCATTTCTGCTCATGATCCCTCTCTCACATATGGTAAATACCGTTATTGTGGCGGGGACATTTTGTTATGGACATGGTGAATGATCTGGTGGTGTTCCGAGTAGTTCCGACATATTAATCATTCGACTCGTGCTACCGACGAATGACAAGGGTATACGGTATCGGTAATTCTTCGATTCGACTGGAATGATTGTGCTTAGTTTCGACTTAGGCGAATGATTTGCATAATTAGTACTACTAACATTCAAAGTTGCGCATCTCTACTACTACAACTAGTCCATGGCAATACTAAACGTAAAATGTTTTAAGGCATTCAAGGAGAAGAAAAGCTGGGTGTGTAGTATAGTAACTTATTAGTCTAGAAATATATACGATTTATTTACTTGGTCAAAATAACGTACAAATTTATACGAGTATATGCTAAAACTATAAAACTTAAACATATTCTGTCCTCCTTGTCATTACTACCGCAAATGCGTTTCGATAATTTACAAGATATAGCACGTAACGTTTTATTGTCACGGAAACTAAATAAAATATAAAAAAACTGATTCGAGGGGGTTGTATATTCCATATAATGTTCGCTCAATTTCGCTGTAACGTCGATTAAGTATGTTAGTTATTATAAGTATTACTGTGGTATTATTGGCATAATTATCACAAGAAGTTAGGATTACAATACGTATTTTTTAATTCACATTTTTTTGTTTGATACTAATGAGCTAACGGATTGTTCATATATTATTTTAATACTATCTTAATATATCTTCAGACAGATGACGCCACAGATCCACAGCGTTACATTGTGGCCGCGACGCATGTTTGACGGGAACTAAATGTCCCACTTTCATCAATTCACTTTTCTGTTTTTCATTGTTTGTTTCGGTTTAAGGAAACGTTAAAATCAATACAAAACCAAAACCAAGGAAAAACTGAAAGTGAAACAGACATCCAATGTGTATTCAAACATTTTAAGAGTTCTAGATTTAGACTTAGGTTTCAAAAGCGGGTCGCTCAGGACTATATCCCTTTTTGTTTTGATAAATTAAGAAGTAAAAATTGATTGTTCCAGATGGTTAACGCTGATTGAGGGTGACTCCTGAGCGACCTGCGCTGGCGTTGACGGCTGCTGGACCACTGTTGAAGATACCTCGACTTCAACTAACGGCGTTTGCTTCAAAATCCTTGTAAATTCAACAAACTATATCCGAACTTGTAAATTCTTAATTTAAAAAGATACTGTATTATTTTTGTTCGCTTTTTGAATTTTCTCTCGCAATCCATATTGCTTACGAAAACAAATAACGTTCTTATAACCTTTTGACCGCCACTGACAAAAACTAATTTCGTTCCGTATGCCACACCAAGCCTATATGACATGTATGAATGTCCACCTTCATCCATAAATTCTCCTAAGTCATAGAAGAACATAACTGTGCATAAAATGCAACTATGAATCCATACTCTGGAATATACAAATAACACAATTAAAATCTTAATATATATTTATTAATTTCATTGATTGACGCTTTAAGGTGTCATGCGCTTAACAGCCAAGTTTATGTAAGAAGCTTTAAGGCGTCCACGGCGGTCAAAGGGATAATAATCGTGTCGACGTTACTTTTATTTTAGGACTTTGAATAGTATGTTGCCACCTTGATTGCACTATCTGTGGCCACATAAAGATGATCCCTCGTGCAGGAAAGCTGCCAGGACAAAACACGTTAAAAATGATTTATAACGAAACACGATAGTTATATTTTACCTCCAATAAGTTGACATATCTTCAACAGTCATGAATGACTCTTCTAGGATTTTTATGTGTAATTCGGAATGAGCTTACCATAGTGGTTGTATAACTCTGTAACGAAACTTTCTTTGTTGTTAAGATGAAGTATTTGTCCATTCCTATTAGACCCAATAATATATGTATAATAAATGTACGATTATACTGTAGGATGATACTATATATAGACTTATGAATAATAAAAAACTTAATGACTCTTTCTATAATTCTCATGATCAATGCGAGCGAAAAAAGACGAAAAAAAGGAAGAACATTTATTCGTGTTCCTAAGCTTCGTAAGCCGTTGATTAAAAATTCACCCTTTTGTCAATTCGTTCAATAGAAATAAACCTCCAGTAATCATGAATTGAGCGCTTTTTTCATAAAAAAACATGAGAAAAACTTGAATTTCTTTTCTTCATTTATGATCCCTTTGCAGGTAAAACACAAAATCATAACTATCTCCATAGTCGAATTGACTTTTAAGTGAGTTTTACCTTTAAACCGACGATTTCTGTAAGTTCTTGAAAATAATTTTATTTATTACATTTCAATTGACACATTTCTATCGTTCCTTTACAATCCTTGTTATCCAATTTGGGGAACTGTATAGGTTTGTATACTTTTTATTATGTATTATATTTAGTTGTAATAGCAAAACATGATTATGATATACAATTTGTAATAACAATAGTTTTATAATTAATTAATTTCGATTCTCATATTTTTTGAATAAAAATTTTGTTATTTCGCATTCTAGATACATATATTAAGTACGTTTTAAGTTTGTATTATTTTTGCTTACCATAAAAGTATTATTTTTGTAGTGTTAGAGTTCTTCTTATTTATTTTGTTAATGCGTCTTGCTCTCATTTGTTAAACCAGAGATTTAGCAGCGACATGAAATGCCGTTCGCGGTTTTTAGTATAATTTTCTAAAAAGCTTTGTATTTATCGGTTGGTCTAACAAATGGAGCATGCAGGGTGTTACAAAATTGTTAATGAATGTGGGATTAAATTTTTCACCACCATGATATTCAATTATTTTTTGTGAAATTACTCCACTAGTTTGTTATAATTATTATTACAAATTTTTGGTCTTTGTAAAAATCTGTGTAAAATATGTTTTATATACCTGATTAAGTCCCGAATTAAAAATCAAATAATACCTAACTGGGTGAAGAAATACCTTCATAGATTTCTCATAGATGTCACTACGGTTAAAAAGTCGTTGAAAACCAACTACAAAAGACCCGACAATAAGCACATAGAAAAATTCGTGAGGTCCGCTGGTTCGCTCAGTGGCTTAGTTGGCATAGTGTCTATAAAAATATCAATAAGTTTAGTCTTCTGACTGAAAGCACCAATCAATTTAGCAATATTCTAGTGGGTATTGTTTGGCTACGTATATCAAACAATGCTTTTTTGTGAAATTGCCTAACTGTTGGAAGCTTAAAGGAGTAAATATACCGGCTTATTTATAAAATACTGACCACCTTGCACGACTATATTACTAACGTCATAAATAACAATGTTTGTTCCATTATTTTTAACAAAATATGATAAATGTACCAAAAATAAACTTTTAAGTTTTTGTTGTACTATCTGATACGTTTTAGATCTGTATTTGGTGGAAAGGTAGTAAGTTCAAACGTGCAAACGTCCTCCTCGATGATCCCCAACCCCGCTCCTGAGTTTTGCATCGGATTGGTATTTAAGCTACAGTTATTTTTGTTATCGCACAGAGTTATCGTCGCTTAGAGCGATCTATTTAAATACTTTTAATATTTCATGAATTTTCTTAAATTTGATGAATTTTTAAAAGTAATGTATCAAAAGTGGTTGTATCAGATATATTAGTAATATAGTCCTGAGAGGTCGTTAGTGTTTTACAAAAAACCGTGTATATTTTTAAAATTTCACTAAAACCGTTGTAAGAGTACATTTTTTAATGTAAATATAGAGGTTGAATAAGAATTTTGTAATGCCTTCATATAAGTCGTTTTCATATTTAATGTTATTTTAGTTCCAATCAAGAATAACAAAGAATAATAACATATCATTATTTGTAGATTTGATTGTTACTCGTTAATATTATGATATTTTTTCAATTGAGATTATACCAAATTATATTCTTGCCTAAAATTAGCGTAGGAAATTTCTGATAAATTTTTGCACTAACTTATTAAGTGTTATTTATTATATGCGTCAAAAATTATTAAAAGAAAAAACCATATTATATTTCATTCTTCTGACTTTTAATAGGTCGACTATGTATTGTTTTATTCAAAAATATATGACATTGTATATCTATTGAATACTTGAAAAGATATTACGTAAAATAAATTGTTAAATAACATTATTGTGTACATACTATACACCAATTGATTTGTAACTTCTTTATTTATTTATAAAGTACGTTATTACGTCTGCACCTACAAGATGTTTAAAAAATATATATACTGTAGTGTATTTAAGTAAGCGACTCAGTATAGGCTGTTCTCTTTCGCATTACTTCATAAAAATGACAAGATAGAGACACGAGGGTAAGTAGGCGCTAGCAAGCGTAAAAATTAAGGGCTTGTGCATAAAAGTTTTAAAAAATAACAAATATATTTTCAAGAAAGTCAAAGTCACAGATGAGTACCAAATACTGCCACACAGAGGTCCCGGGTTCGATTCCTTAGCCGGGTGAAATATTTGTATGGCCTACATTTATTTATCTCGTGAGTTTGGGCGTACTTTGTGGTTGCCTATATATGTGTCCGTGGCACCCGCGATACAGGGTTCTTCGTGAAAACAAAAAAAAAAAAATATAGAAAACAACACGTCCCACTGCACATATATTAGAGCCAACTAATTAGGTGGAGTATCTGTAACCTAACACGTGCAGCTGTATTTTCTCAGTACTAAGTCGCTAACTTATATAAGGTTTAGATTATTAAGAACACTTCATGTTTTCACATTACTAATATTACGAAATTGTACGATGATTCCTGAAGAGTATATTCTAATATAATAGTTCCTTTATCGTACACTATGAGTTCACTATTTACAGCTGAAGACAGAGTCAGTTGGCTTATCAGGTTATTAGAAGAACAAAGCAGCCTGTTATGGTTGGAAAATAAAAGGACAAGGTTTCCGCCAGGGACGACGACGTATGCGTAGTACGTCGTAGGTAAAACCTCACAAAAATTAGTGCACGCTGACTATACTTTCTACTACATTATGAGTCGCTTCCAGTACTTCTATAATTCATGATCTAGAAGCTTATTGCTTTGCATAATTAAAACCAAAAGTAGGTTTTTATTTAAGTGTATGATTATTGGACGTATTTATTATAAGTTAGAAAAATCCATAAGAATCTTAAAAAGCAATATTGACGTTGTAAAAAGAAACCTAATGCAGCTGTTTATATTCATATGTTTATTTACACTTCATGTGTGCTGAATAAAGTTCATTTGATTGTTTTTATTATTATTTTATTTTACATAGTGCTAGCCTCGGTTTTAAGTCCGTGTTTGTGTTGTTTTTTTTTTAATGCGTCTAATTGTGTCTACTGTATGGTCGGATTTGAGGGACATCAATTTTAGAATTATATTTGAAATATTCTCCCGGACACATAATTCGAGCCATCTCGCATTTTTATCGTAAAGGACTGGAATACGAAAATAGTGTTGTCATCGAAGAAAAAAAATTACCCCGGTTTTGCAAATCCGAATTCCCAACAAGGATTTATGGAAAAGACGTTTAGTATACTAATTTCAAAATTGCATAATAGTTTTTGATCAAACAAACATTCTTTAAGCTTAGCGCCCTTAAGTGAAAATGCGTGGTGGCTCGAATTTTACGCTCTTTAAATTTGCGTTAGAAGGTATCTTTTCTTGTGATAGTACAATTACACTCTTTAATGTAGCATGAGCAGAATTACAGCTCTCAGCAAGTGACAATATGCCATTGTGGTAACGTGTAAATAGAAAATAAAATAGAAATTTGTATTTGTACATTATTTATTCTAAGTGAATAAAGTTTTGAAATGAAATCAGTTCATAGTTTAAAAAAATAAGTATCATTACGTCTTTACAAGATAACACCACCTTGAAAACATATTAAAATCGATACACACTTAATAGAATCAAAATTTATTGAACAATAATTAAATATCGGATTTTATTTATTTTCGCAATTTCTTTACAGTCATGCGTAACTATGGGACATATAAAAAAAAGAAACATTTTGCATGTTTGAAAGAAACAAACGTTCGTGATTAAAATTCGAAAAATAAATTAAAAGTAGTTTCATTTCCAACAATTTAGTATAAAAATTGAGTACAGTCAGTGTCAAAAAGAAAAAAATCTGAGAATACATTACTACTTTTGTTTAGTTTCTATTAAAATAAGAATTAAGTAAATTTACCGTATAATTAATGACTTATTAGGTCCGGGTAAAATATTCAGTCAGTACATAAAATAATTTAGATTTGTTCAGCACTATTCAATGCACTTAGTAAAGTGGCATTCTAATAACGCTGGATCCTGAATCGCTACCACCAGCAAAATTATGTTTGATTCTTTTTTGTAACGGATTTTCATACCACGGCACGACAAACCTACCACGACTGTTACAAATTTATCACAGCAAATTTGCAGCAGTTTCCACTCCACTGCCCTTTTATGTAACATACAGCGTGACATAATACAACATACCTAACAGCATGTGTGACGTACGAACCGACCTCGGTCTCTACATAAGGATTTCACATTGCTATCTCTCCTTAACGCATTTGCTTTGCTTGAGAAAGACAAAGATACAAGAATAGGAACTAAAATTCAGAATTATTGTGTTTTTGGTTCTTAATTATTTTTGAAACGAGACCCCAAATCGTGACATGGACTTTAACTATATTTTGTTTATTATTGTATGCACGTTTGTTATTAACTATAATTCATAGAATTGTCCGTCGCACTGTCGCAGTTTCATATTGTATGAAGAAGAAGAATCACTGAAGCTACATTTTGGTTGAAATTAAGTTATATATGTATATAACTTCAACTATATATTTCAACTATATATGTATATATTGTTGAAATTAGCGTTTTTTTTCTACGTCATTTGTACTGGGTTTCACGACTATCCGACTACTTTGATGTCGGTAAAGTATCCTAGAAATTGGCGTCAGTTCTAAAATTAGAACCTTATGCAACAATCTTTATTTAACCGACTTCAAAAAAGGAGGAGGTTTTCAATTCGACTGTAT